CATGCTGGCTGGGGAATTCTGGGAGTTGAAGTCCACGTATCTTAAAGTTGCCAGGGATGAGAAATACTGCTCTAGCAGGCCCAACTGAGAGTTTTTTCCAAGTAGATGTGCCAATGGCCGACTCTACAACTGTCTATGTTCCTGTACTGTACAGGAGCAGCAAAACAACAAGGAAAAAATCATTTTATTGAAATGGGCCTTTGGCATCATGTGTTTGTGGGTGACTACTGGTTTAGTTGCATGAATGTATTTTAAAACAGGACACAATAGAAAGTTTTTGTGTTTTGTGTTTGCATTTTGCTCGCCATGCTCCACCCAGAGGTCTGTGATCGAGGCAGCCTACAAAAAGGATAAAATACAGAAATGCATAAATGCACTCGGCACCCATATTTCTGTAACGGGGGGCCAAGATGTTTCATTGAGAACCCAAATTTGAAGGGGCTAATGAGTCCAATACTGTAGAGGGAAGAGGGAATGGCCTTGAAGAACAGGAGGAAGAGCCTCTACCAAGGCAACAGGCAGATAAGAGAGGCTTGAGCCCTGGGCAAGGAAGTCACATGAGAAAATGACTCAGACAAGCCCCTCCCTAGTTCACACAAAAATAAAGGGAGGGAAGAGGAAGTACATTCAGACTTGCAAGATTCTCTTACTTATAGCTGTTACAATAAAAGTTGTCCTGATTTATATGGCATTGGTTTCTTAGTCTGGGCTGACCAACCCCTGGTCGGTGCAGGAATCCTGAGGCATCTCCCCTAGATGGGTTCACAGTTGAATACATCCAATGAAAGAGAGGCCACCACTTCTCTGGGTCACTGGTCCCACTGTCGATCTGTTCTTACAGTTAGGGAATTAGGTAAGGAAGGTCAAAGAAGAGCTAACATCCATACGAACTGCTGAGACTCTGGCCTGGATGCCTCCATCTTCAGAGATACACTTAGGAGCAACACACCCCTAAAGGCAAAGTAAAACCCAACAAGAAAGATTCACAAGGGGTCTCATTAGATAGGCTGATCGTCGAAAAGAAGTTAATATATAGAATCTTGGAAACTGAACAGGTCCAAACTCTAGCAGTCCACTGGAGTCGGGCAGCCAATAAATTTAAATCAATCAATAAATGCACTTCATTAGTGAATTCAGTCAGATGAGTTCTCTGAAAGCCTTTTAAACTTCTCGCTCCCAGAATGTAAAACTGAAGGGCTTAACTGACCACTTCCCAGGTAAGAGTGACCTTGGAATAGGAACGTGCTCATTGTTAATAATATTTCAAGATACTCTAGTTTCTTTCTCAGCCCTAGAGATCTCACTTAACCCATGAGGAAACTCTCCCTTGGGTTACTGACTCAGGGCTGCTTGCCTCGGAGATGGAAAACCAGCACTGTTGCTAATGTTGGTGAGCTACAACTCCCACCTCCCTTGCTATTGGTTATGTGGGGTAGGAATAGCTGAGAACTGTAGTTCAGCAACTCTGGAACGTTCCTGATCCCTCAATCCTGGCCTACAGTGATGGGGATGAACATCCCAGGATTTCAGAGAAGAGTCTCTCCCAGCCCTGAGACCTTCTCCTGCTGGCCAAGGAAGCTGAGGCTGTGCATTTCATGCCATCTGCATACCACAGTGGGCAATGGTGGGCATCAATTCTTCCTACTTGTGGAAATGTGCAGCATAAACGAGTTTCACTTCCCACCACCTCGGATTCTTTCTGGACATCAAGTCTCCACTGCAGCTCATTATGTTACCAAAGGGAAAAGGTCTCAAAGGGTTTAATTATGCAGACAACGGCAAAGTTTACCTTTCCAAGGTTGCACTTCTATCACTTTTTAAATTTGATTTTATTCTTCTGGTATTGGTTTTGCAATTTCCATAAGGTTCCTAGGACAAGACTTAGATTGATGACAGAAGCATTTTGAATGAAAGAGAGAAGAATCCCATCAAAAAGCCCTCTGTAGATCCTGTCAGGACCAGGTTCCTTCCATACTGCCCCCTAAGCAACCTTGACATACAGGTAGCCCTCGTTCAGTGACCACTCATTCAACCAACGTTCAAAGTTACAATGGCACTGAATGAGTGGGACTTATGACCGGTCCTCGTAGTTATGGCGGTCGCAGCATCCCTGTGGTCACAGAATCGCAATTTGGGCACTTGGCAACTGGTGTGTAAATCTGACAGTCACAGCATCCTGCGTCATGTGATTGCCCTTTGCGACTTTCACCACCAGCTTCCAACAAGCAAAATCAATGGGGAAGCCAGCAGGAGGTTGCAAATGGTGATCACATGACCGCGGGATGCTGCAACCACACAGGATTCACCTAATGATGGCAACTGGAACTGCTGCAACTGCTAATGTAAGTTGGCATGGTCACATAATGTTATACTTTAGAAATGTGTTGCTTAGTGACGGAGTTGCCAGTCTCAATTACTGTTGTTAAACAAGGACTACCTGTATAGTCAACCTGAAGTTGGATTTTAACCATTTGCAGTCACGGTCAGCCACTCCTTCCACCAACACTTACTGAACAAGGGAGGGTCACCATCGCTATTGTGCTCAACCTCCATGGAGTGCCCCAGGTCCTCTGTGTCTGATGGATCCAATTCTGCCTTGGGGGAATTGACAATCACCTCCTCAAAAGGCTCCAGTTCCTGCAGCAGATCAGGGACACAACCAAAACAGAGTGACAGGGCTGAGGAAACATAGGCCTGTCTCTTACCCTATGCTGTGACCCACACCAAGGCTGGCCTCCAACAGCTATTGGAAGCACAGGACAATCTGGTGCCTGTGTTCTGATCAGCAGTCCGTCCTTCCTTCCTTCCTTCCTTCCTTCCTTCCTTCCTTCCTTCCTTCCTTCCTTCCTTCCCTCCTTCCCTCCCTCCCTGGACAGAGGGAATGGCCTTGAGGGACCAGAGGAAGAGCCACTACCAAGAAAACTGTCAGATAAAAGAGGACTGAGTCTGGGGCAGGAATGTAATGTGAGAAAATGTCTCAGACAAGACCCTCCCTAGTTCTCACAAAGATAAAGAGAGGGAGGGAGGGGAGAAGCACACTCAGACTTGTAAGGTTCTGTTACTGTAGCTTTAAAATAAAGGAAGTGCTTCCATGGCATTGGATTCCTAGTCTAATCTAGCTTGACAGGCTGACCATCCATCCATCCATTCCCAAGTGGTTGCCACTGATATAGCCAACCACAAAAGGCCAGCCATAAAATAGTCATATGGTAGAAGGGACATCCACATCTCTAAGACACTCCCAACTACTCCAGCTAATTTTTGCTTTTTTTTTTTTCCTGATGGGCAAAGCACCAAACAAACTACCAGCTACAGTTTTATTTTTTGAGAATGCCAGTGGGGACCATTTAGGCCCAGAGGTATTCTTGGAAACACAGGTGATACTAGAGACACAAATTCTAGTAGCCTTTCAGGTACTGAACCTCCTTGGGGACGGTATAGGCCAGTTGTTCTCCCTTAGCCTAACCCACCTCACAGGGTTGTTGTGAGGAAAATGGGAGGAGGGAGCATGATGCCTGCTACCTTGAGCTCCTGAAGGAAAGGTAGGATGCAAATCAGATAGACAGGTAGATAAGAGATAGGATCTGCTCCTACTGATCTTCCAAATTTATTATACAGATAGACTCTCTCTGTATAGAGATGCTCCATCTGGCCATTCAACTGTGCAACGAAGCAGAGAGGCACGATATATAATGCCATAGAGCAGTGTTGTCCAAACTTGGCCACTTTAAGATGAGTGGACTTCAACTCCCAGAATTCCCCAGCCAGCCATACTGTGGCCAAGTGGCCAAGTTTGGACAACACTGCCACAGAGGAATTCACTATGCCCCAGTCAAGATTTCCAGAGCGTGTCAATGGAAAAGCCCTTACCTGCTGCCTTCTCTGTAGATTCAGGAGGAAATCCTCTGCCAGGGTGACAGCCTGGGCACAGGTCTGTGGCCTGCCTTCTCTGACCCAACCTTGTGCTTCCTCAGGCAGGATGGTCAGAAACTGCTCCAGGACCACCAGCTCCAGGATCTGCTCCTTGGTGTACCTCTCGGGCTTCAGCCATTGGTGGCAAAGCCTCCGAAGCTGCTCGCAAACATTTCTGGGCCCTTCAGCCTCCTGGTAACAAAACTGATGGAAACGCTGGCTCTGCTCCTCCAAGCCATCCACGTCCTCGCCCCAAATCTCTTCTTTCACTTGCACAGAAGTATCGGGGCTCTTCTCACTGGTCCTGCGGGTCTCCTGGCTGACCGAGTCTTCTCTAGGCCATAGCCCAGTCTCTGTGATCCCCTTCAAGGAGGAAAAAGAAGACTGAAATTCTTTAGGACTCTCCTCTGCTGGGGGCTGAGCCAGCTGTGGGCGTCTTTCTGGGAAGTAAGGGGCCTGCATGGTCTTGAGGAATGTCTGCCACTGGGTTTCCCAGCGCTGCTGCAGTTCATCTTCCGGTTCCTGCTTGATTGGTTTCAAAAGCTTCTGAAGCCGAAGTTCGGCACCAACCCCAGCTTGAGTGCCATGGAGACTGTTCTGAACAGCCTTGGAATTTTTCTCTTTTCCAGCCCCTTCTGGGTCTTCCTGCTCCATTTTTACTTCCTTTTGCTCTGTGAATTACAATCAAGGTTACCAACAACATTCCTGATCTCATTTTGTTTTATTTCTTCCAAAGGCCTCCCCACAGGCTTACGTCTTAGGAATGGGTGACGTTCCGGAGACACAAATGTTTCTGTGAAAGTTGCCTAACTCTGTTCTTCAGAGTTTTCCAAAAGGAGTAGACAACCAATTTTCCAATGGTGTAAATACAGGTAGTCCTTGCTTAACAATCTTTCAAAGTTATGATGGCACTAAAGTTACTTACAACTGGTGCCCAAAGTTACGACTGTTGCAGCACCCCTGCGGTCATGTGAATGCAATCCAGACGCTTGGCAACCAGCTTGCACTTACGACAGTTGCAGCATCCCAGAGTCACATGATCGCCATTTGCAACCTTCCCAGCCAGATTCCGGCAAGCAAAATCAATAGGGAACCACGTGATTCACTTAACGACCACTGCAAAAAAGGTTATACAATTGGGTCCAGTCATGTGATGATTTGCTTAACAACCTAAATCCCAGTCCCAATTGTGGTGTTAAGCGAGGACTACCTGTAATTTGGCCACCAAATGTCTTCCCACACCCAGCTAGGGTACAATGTCTCTAAAGAAGAGCCATTTGCTGGATCTCGCCAAAGGTCTACTTCACCATCAACTTCAGGCAGTAGCTTTATTAGTCCTCCCCCCACTGGTGTCTCCTAGACATGTTGGAAAAGCTCAACATTTGCCATTCCCACAGATGGGAATTCTGGAAGACACAGTCCCAGTACAGTTGGATCCATTTGTTGAGCTACCTACAATAACCCTCTAATATTCCCTGGAGGATCCATTTATCTCTGTAACTCAGGAAAGTTATCCTCCATGAATTCCTCTAATACACACATCTAAATTGAAATACAAACACCTTCTACCAATTACCTAATGCACGGTGCCTGGCTTATTTATTTTGAATTTATTCTCAGTCAACTATTCCCAGAACCGTAGGAACAGTTCTTCAGTTCTACTATATGTACAGTGACTCTACGCCCTTTATTTCAGAAAGCTGTCCTCTAGATTGATTTCATGTAATTATTTATTTTCTTGGTTTTGCTCCTGAATTTTCCTTTGTAAAGCAAAGTTCTAAACATAAACATTTTTTTTTTATCCTTATGGACTTCTTTCAGATTTGCCCCTTTCTCAGGTTTGTCCTTTATTTTTTCCAAGAAAATGTGGTCGCTGTAACTATACGCCACCTCCATGAATGCTGGTTTTCAGTCTCACAATCCTGTTGGCCATCAACTGATTGATTATGCGCCATGTACATAATCAGTGCAACAGTGTCGAATTTTAGTGACCGCTCTTGGACCCTGTTGGCCATGCCATTCAGAAATTAAATTAGGGGACCCAAAATCCAACATCTACAAATGGCACCCCATTGGGAAAAGCCATTCTAGATCTTGAGAGAAGGAGAAACTAAGTCATTTCCAGTTTGCTGCTGCAGGATACTGGCCTAAAAACCAGTTTGTTCCAGGACTGGAGCCTCTATCTGTCTTCATGCAGGAGGTATCAGTAAAGAGTGCCATATATTTTTGGTTATTTGAGGGATCACCTCTTCCTGATTACAACTACCCATCGATCAGGTCTGGCAGGAGGGCATGTTACGGACTCATCTGCTAAAGAGTTCCATCTGAAGGGTCTGAACGGCCTTTTCTGCTGTGGCCCCCGCCCTCTGGAACATCATCCCCCCCAAGGTGAAGTCAGCCCGTCCCTACCAGCCTTCCGGAAAGCCCTTAAAACATGGTTTTTCCAGCAACCTTGAGGATCCCATGGGAACAGGGAGCCTGCGATATCGCATTTAGGATGTTGTCTACTCTCCCCCAGGCTTGGTTTTTATTCATGCTTAATTGTTTTTAATAGTTGTTAAATAGTTGTTTACATTTGTTTTTAATGGTTTTGGAGTCACATCTGTGAGATGGGCAGTTTTGCTAAATAAAGAGGTAGATAGATGAATAAATGCCCTCTCCATGAAAATGGCCTTTTGTAGTAATCCTGCATCCTATCCTGACTCAGGACCGGTGGTATAGTCAATTATTTTAGATGGCGGGGGGGGGGGGGGAAGCCGGAACCCCTGGAGGGCTTCTGCAACCCCTTGGGCCCCCCCCGAACGAGGCGCGTCCCCCGGTC